AAACTGTGGTGGGGATGTGTTGGGAACATGAGGGATTGGATTGAGGGGTGGATGGATGGGGAGAGCAATGAAAGAGCTGACTTGATGGGGGAGTGGCATTTCAGGGTCAGGTGCAAGGGAACCTCCCATGAATCTACAAGGATGACCCCAGCTAGGACACCTAACAATAGTGGCTAGGCAGCCTGAACTGGCTATCTCCTGTAATCAGGTTGGTAACTACCCCAATTGTCATTGGAGAGTCCTCATCCAGGAAATGATGGAATGATCTACAGCCAAGCACTGGAATGAACCCAGGGAATCCTGTTGAGGAGAGGGAGGAAGGATTGTAAGAGCTGAGGGAATCAGGACCATCAGAGGGGAACCAACGGAAGCAACTGATCTGCTTGTGGGAGCTCACAGACTGTGGACCGAAGGCTAGGGAGCCTGCACGGGACCAGCCTAGCTCTCTACAGATGTGTGGCGGTTGTGTGGCTTGGTCTACTTGTGGGACTCCCAGCAGTGACTGCAGGGCCTGTCCCTAATGCTTTGCCTGGCTTTGGGGAACCTGTACCTAATGCTGGGTTGCCTGGCCCAGCCTTAATACAAGGAGAGGAGCTTAGTCCTACCTCAACTTGATATGCCATGCTTTGTTGGCACCCATGAGAGGCCTGCCCCTTTCTGAACAGAGGTGGAGGAGGAGTGGATTGGGGAGGGGGAACAGAGGGGAAGTAAGGGGAGGGCATGGGAAGAAGCAGGAGGGAAAGCTGTGGTCAGGAAGTAAAATAAATAAAAAATGTAATTAATAACAAATAAATTTTTTTTTTTTTTTTGGTTTTTCGAGACAGGGTTTCTCTGCGTAGCTTTGCGCCTTTCCTGGGACTCACTTGGTAGCCCAGGCTGGCCTCGAACTCACAGAGATCCGCCTGGCTCTGCCTCCCAAGTGCTGGGATTAAAGGCGTGCGCCACCACTGCCCGGCGACAAATAAATTTTTAAAAGAAATGTAACATAAATAAATAAGAGTTCACCCTGGCTGCCCATGATAATCAAAAAGATGCTATCAGTATGAGGGAGGCAACACAGTGATGGGGTGGGAGAAAGGCCTCCCTGGCAGCTGCTGGCCTTGGAAATGGGAGGTGGCATACCACAGTTCTTAACTAGAAAAGCAGTTTAAGGCCAGCAAAATGGTTCATCGGGTAAAAGCTCTTGCTGCCAAGGCTGCCAACTTCAGTTCAATACTTAGGACCTATATGGTGGAAGGAGAGAACCAACTGCTACAAGGTGTCCTCTGACCTTCATTTGCACACAATGGCACATGCATGTGTAGACAAACACACACTTACATGTGCACATAAAAAATATATAAAAGCTTTAATAAAAATCATTTCTTAGAGCCTTTTGCTTTATATATATAAATAGAAAGATGCTTCAAGCTTGGGTTAAAGCATCTGTAAGAAAAAAAAATCAGACTCTTTTCTTGGAGTGTCATGAAAGCCTAAACTCTCTAGGCTCTGGGCTATCTTAGTATGAAAGTGTAAAGTTGGAGACCTTTTGGCAGTTTGTAAGGTGTTCCTGTTAAATTTTAAAAACAATTGCTTGGGAGGCTGGAGAGATGGCTCAGCAGTTAAGAGCACTGGCTGCTCTTCCAGAGGACTCAGCACCAATGTGGCCATTCACAACCCGCTGTAGCTCCAGCTGCAGGAGATCTGACGCCCTCTCTGGCCTCAAAGGGCATTGCATGTGCATAGTTCACAGATACACATGTAGGCAAACACCCATACACATAAAATAAAAATAAGATTTAAAAAAATTAATATATATAATATAAACATTTATAACTAAGGTGGTTCTTCCTGTAAACTATCAAGCAGGAAGAAATCACTCAGCCTTGAAGTACACATTTTAAAGAAGTTCATAAAGCTGAGCCGGGTGGTGGTGGCACATGCCTTTAATCCCAGCACTTGGGAGGCAGAGGCAGGCGGATCTCTGTGAGTTTGAGGCCAGCCTGGCCTCAGATCAAGTTCCAGGACAGGCTCCAAAGCTACATAGGGAAACCTTGTCTTGAAAAAAAAAAAAAAAGGAATAAGAAGTTTATAAAGCTAAAGCACATTGACTTAAGAAGATATGATTGGATTAAAGGAGACTGAGGTTTTAATTTAGAACCTGGAGGAGAAAATGCTTCCAAGGTAGTGAAGGATTTGAATCAGTATCGAAGGAGTCCATGGAAGAGACACCAGGCACATTAGAAGGTGTCAACTCAAGAATGGATTGTCCCTCCCTTGCCCTTCTGGTCACTTTCTGTACACATGGTTTCTTTCACTCTGAAACTGTCAAGCAAAACAAAAGGTAGGCCCTGTAACACCTGGAGAAACTTTCGAATTCTCAATAACGAGGAAGCCAGCTGCTTAACCAGCACACTTCCTGTGTGTGCCATAGCCACTGAAGACCAAGAAGCTACCTTGCTGGCGAGGTGCTCAGAGGGATCTTAGGGCGGCGAGAGACTGCTCTGTGTATACTGCAATGGCAGTGTTTGTTGAAATCCACAGACCACATGACCTAGAGTGAATCCTAACATAGACTGTGGACTTTGAAAGATCACGTTATGCCAGTGTAGTACGCTGTGCCAATTTAGGCAGATCAGTCGTAACAAATGTGCCACTGTGCGGCAGACACCCTTGTGTGGGGACAAAAGGTATGTGGGAACTCTACATTCTAATCCATTTTTCCGTGAACATCAAACTGGAGAGATGGTTCAGCAGTAGAGGGCACATCGCTCTTCCAGAGGACCCCAGTTCAGTCCTAACCCTTAGGTGGGTCACAACTGCCTGTAACTTCAGCACCAGGGGATCTGGGACCTCGGGTCTTCTTAGCACTCACACTCATATGTACTTACTGTACCTCCACATACACATAATCTTTAAAAGGTAAGTAAAACTGCTCCAGATGACATTTATTCATCTTAAAGTAGCGCGCGCGTGTGCGTGTGCGTGTGCGTGTGCGTGTGTGTGTGTGTGTGTGTGTGTGTAAGGCACACACGACTCAAAAAGGAAGCTTACTTTACCTAGCCAAGAGTCATCCTGTTTATGTTATATGCACTGAAGATCAAGAGCCAGCCTTGGTGGCACGGTGCTCAATGGCAGAACATCCTCATGTTGATGAAGGTGCAAAGTGCATCACAGTGGTCTGACATGATGCCTTTATGTAGTATTTTTAAGGTCCATATGAATCAGTGGGGGATCCTGTTTTTAAACTGCAGGTGTTTTAGAAAAAAAGGAGCAGGTGGAGGAGGAGGAAGGAGAGATAAAAGAAAGAAAAGTGGAGAAGGATACAGTTAAAGCGCAATGTTTAGAGGTATGTAGATGTCACAGCTGGCCAGAAAGATGGCCCAGGGATAAAGGCACTTACAGCAAAGCCTGATGACCAGAGCTCACATAAAGGTAGAAGGAAACAAATACTCCACAAAGCTGTCCTCAGGCCTCCATAGGTGTGCCTTGACATTTACACCACACACACACACACACACACACACACACACACACACACACACACACACACACACACCATTCTGTAGATATACGAATTCTTTATTTTTAATGTTGATTTTTAGTATATATGTTTTGCTTATGTGTATGTATGTACCTCAGATTTCCTGGAACTGGATTTAGAGACAGTTGTGATTTGCCCTGTGGGTGCTGGGGAATAAATCCTGGTCCTTTGGGAAAACAGGCAGTGTTCTTAACCACTGAGCCATCTCTGCAGACCATAAACTGGTTTTTGTTTTCATTTGGAGTGGGGTACACACGTGTGGGTGACTGTGCATTTGTATTGCACACGCACATGGAAGGCAACGAACCACCTCCAGTGTCCTTACTCCTCAAGAGCCATCCACCCCAATTCTGTTTGTATGTTTTTAGATTATTAAAACATTTATGTGCAGGGGCTGGAGAGATGGCTCTGCAGTTAGGAGTATTTGTTGCTCTTCCAGAGGACTCAGGTTCAATTCCCAGCACCCACATGGTGGCTCACAACTATCTATAACTCCAGTTCCATGGGATCCAGAGCCCTCTCCTGTTCTCTGTGGCACCAGGGCCACACATGGTGCACAGACATACATGCAAACTATCCATGCACATAAAGTTAAAAAAATTTTAAAAAGATTTTTAAAAATGCATGTGCATCTGTGTGCTCCCACATAAGTTTATATGCACTACATGAGTACCTCCTGGTACCCAAGGAGGTCAGAGAATTCCACACCATGGAATTGAAATGACTGGCAGTTGCCACCATGTGGGTGCTTGGATGAGAATCTAGGTCTTCTGCAAGAGCAGTAAGTGCTCTTAACTGCTGGAGCAGTCTCTCCCACTCCTGGCTTGTGTTTTGATACATGCTCTTTCACTGAGATAGCTGTGAAACACCATGTGGTTGCTGGGAATTGAATCTTGGTCCTCTGGAAGAGCAGCCAGTGCTCTTAACCATCTCTCCAGCCCTGATGTAGCATTCTTAATCATCCCAGGAAGTTCATGTAAACAGAGAAACAGATCTCCACAGTATACTGCTCTTGTGTGGCTAAGCATAATACACAGGATATATGTTCTTTTTTATTTGCCCAAAGTACACTCTTGTGTGGTGAGACACATCCCTTACTAACCCTAGTCAGTCTGTGTCAGCTGGGTAAAGGTGAGGCTCCTTCTCATCCCCAAATTTTATATACAGGACACAGGTGTGGCAATGAACATCCACCTTTGGATATGATTGGTTCATGCACGGAAACAGGATCTAAGCTAGGTACAGTAGTCATCCATGGGGATCTGCTAGTCTCCTGGTCCTTTCTCTTCTTCCTTAATGAATCATAACAACTATGTACATCCAGAGCTGCTAGGGTCTGCTTTTTCTTGCATATGCAGAGAGCTCACCAGAAAATGAGGTCAACTCACAGGAATACAAAGACCAGATGTGGAACAAAGAGGAAGAAAAAAAAAACACATACACAGAATAATGCTGGTAATGACATTGAACTGCTGGGTCTAATAATGTCAGCCCTTCCCCTGGGTGACTAGCATATCTTCATTAACATTTATTTATGTTTTGCTTAGAGGACTTTGAGTTGATCTTATTGATAGTCATCACATCCATCTTTCATGGAAGACTTTCCCAAACAAATCTTGTCCCACTGTTAACACAAACTGTGTTTCCACTGAGGTTGGGTGATGGGAAGTGGAAATGGGACTCAAACAGGACAGCTGCAGCTGAGACACATGGTTTCAATGTATATGGGAGAGAAGTCATGAAAATCAGCAGAGATCAGCATCCAAACTGAACGACAGCATTGATCTTTATGGTCACACATCTGTTAGTTCCTACCTTGCCACTACATATCTTTTCAAAATCCAAAACAAAAAAAAAAACTGCTTACAGCCCATTATTCTGGTCTTCAGAATAGAGACAGAATTGTTTCCTGTTTCCTGACCACAGATAGAAGTTATCCTAGAAGTTTCTGGGACCTGACCAATTTAGGGAGGCAGAGGAATGCTCAAACCTTTCCAGGACCAAGGGGAAGATTCACAACTCAAGAGACAACCAAGTCTTTCCTTTGTAATGAGATTTCATTGCCAGTGCTGTGATCATTAGCTGAACTGACACTTTAAGGGGGCCCAGCTCAAGACTCTTGACAGTTCAGGACCAACCCCAGCATCCCTGTGGGCCACTCTCTATGACACTGGCTTGATGAAGCCGTAATCCATGCACTTGATGAGACATTCCCGGGCTGTCTGAACCACAGTTCCTCTCTTCTCATCCGGCTCCTGTTTTCCCACCACGGTCAGGATCTCCAGCAGTTCGCTCTCAACCAGCTTCCTGGCCAGCTCAGCATCCGCTGACAGCAGGTTGTAGGCAATGACCAGGCCCCGGTGTTGCACTGATAACTGGTCATGCAGGCAAAGCCGCTGTAGGATCTCTAGCCACTGCGTTGTCTGCAGAGTGGAAATGGGTAAGCAAGGATTTGAGAAATCAGTGAGGAGGCAGAAAGAAGACTTGACAACCAAGAGAAACAGAAGGTATCAGCCATACTCACAGCTAAATAACTTGACTATGACCACATATCTGTAAATAGCAATAAACTAAAATGGGCCCATAGCCCTTATCCATTTATTTGTTTATTTAAGATTTATATATTTATTATGTATACAGTGTTCTGTCTGCATGTATGTCTACATGCCAGAAGAGGGCATCAGATCTCATTAGAGATGGTTGTGAGCCACCATGTGGTTGCTGAGAATTAAACTCAGGTCTTCTGGATAAGCAGCCACTGCTCTTAACAGCTGAGCCGTCTCTCCAGCCCCTTATTTATTTATTTACTTATTTATTATTTTTATTCTGCCTGTGTTTGTGTGTGCGGTATGCATGTATGTATGCATGCTCACATGTATATAGGTACGCATACATGCAGGTGCACGTGCACATGTTTGTGAATGTGTTTGGAGGCCTGAAATTGATGTATGTCAGTTGTCTTTTTCTTTTCTTTCTTTCTTTCTTTCTTTTTTTTTTTTTTTTTTTTTTGGTTTTTCGAGACAGGGTTTCTCTGTGTAGCTTTGGAGCCTGTCCTGGATCTCGCTCTGTAGACCAGGTTGGCCTCAAACAGAGATCTGCCTGCCTCTGCCTCCCAAGGACTGAGATTAAAAGCATGCACCACCACTGCCTGGCTCACAGTCCACTTTTATTTGGAGAGGTAGCATCTCTCAATTGAACCCAGAGCTCACTGAGCAGCATTAGCTAGCCAGTTTGTCCCTGGAGTGCTGGGATTACAGGCATCCACAATACCTGCCTGGTTTTTACATGGTTGCTAGAGATCTGAACCCTGATCCTCATGCCTGCACAACAAATACTTTATCAACTGAGCTCTCTCCCCAGCCCCCATCCATTTATTTATTTATTTATTTTATTTATTTATTTATTTTTTTTTTTTTTTTTTTGGTTTTTCGAGACAGGGTTTCTCTGTGTAGCTTTGCACCTTTCCTGGAACTCACTTGGTAGCCCAGGCTGGCCTCGAACTCACAGAGATCCGCCTGGCTCTGCCTCCCGAGTGCTGGGATTAAAGGCGTGCGCCACCACCGCCCGGCCCCATCCATTTATTTTTTTAAACTTCTTGAGAAGCAGAAAGACAGGCTCCCTGAACATCTCAGCAGAACTAAGATGCAGAATGCTAAGGAGAGTCCTCAAGGGGGGGAACGTGGATGATGTCTCTTCTATCAAGCCAGGTGCCCTTTGAGACAAGAGCCCCAGGCATGTTCTTCAGCCCTGGTTTCGACTGGAATAAACAAAGAATCCGCAGTGGATTCTCTCATTCCTTCTCCATCCACCGTCCACGATCATGAGGACAGTTGGCTGTTGTGTGTCAGTGCTCAGCCACCCTCACCACCCTATGGGACAGACAGCGAGGAAGCTGGAAGCACACCCGGGCGTTACTCCTGGCACTGCATGGACACACGTGAGACAGCAGAGTAGAGCCAACATCTGTATACATCTGTATGCGCTTAGATTCAGAGAGAGCCATCCTCAGGCCCCATTCAGCACTTGCCATCTGCCTGGCCTCACCTAAGTTATGTGCCTCAAGATTCTCATCTGGCACTGTGCTTCTGCTAAGGCCATTTCTAAACCTGTTTCCCAGTGGGGAAAAAATGAGGATATTCATAATCCCCTACCTGCCAGGATGATTGGGAATATTAAATGATGTAATATGTGTGTATGTCATATACTCATATACATATACATATCCCCTTAGGGCAGCATCCCACTTATGAGACGTGCAAAGAGTCACCAACGTGTCCTGGTTGACCATGTGTCCACTGGAGCCATTGTGTCTAGTTATTCCATGAGAAGCAACTCTAAGGCACTGGCTTCTTAAGTGTGGTCCCCAGGCCAGGAGTTCCCTCCCATACTCCAATCTACTGAATCAGAATACCAACAGAAACTATTCTAACTATCTCCATGGGTGATGCCTAAAAGCATGATAGTTTTGAAGAGTCTGCCATAGTAAAGGAGACAGAAGTCCAGAGTCTACACAGGATAAACAGTACCCAGCAGAGAGCTCTGGTGACTGGACAAAAAAAACCTACATGGAACTCAGAGACCAACACACACACACACACACACACACACACACACACACACACACACACACCCTTCAATTGACCATTTAAAGGAGCCAGCCTCCACTCCAGATACGAGCATGTTTGAACTGAGCTGACCTTTTCACTCCAATGGAAATGAATGCCCATGAGCTAGGCTCTGTGTGGGGAGATGAAAAAAGTCTCATGCTTGAGACTAACAGTAGTATTCCCACTATACCTGCTGAGGTGCCCATAGTCTTACCATAACAGCCTGGCATCCTGTCCACGGCAGGGAACCTACAGCCTCTACCAAACCACAGCAGCTTCCTTCAGTGTCCCAACCCCTTCCACACTTCCCTGAGGAACTCATGAGCCCCTCAACAGTAATGTGCACCATGTTACTATCATTCTTCAGTAGGGGTTACGTGCGCCCACAAAGGTAGTGGGACACACCATGGCGACAGGACTTTAGTTAATGTACTTGGGAAGTCCAAACAGTGGTGGTAATGGCCAAGAGGCACAGTCTCCTCTCTTCAGGCATTGGGAACCAACTCCCAACTAGCGAAGTTCAGCCTGCAGCCCATCCTCCCTGGATGAGTCGGGGCAGGATGGTCTGAAGGCTGGTATACCTCACCCAGCTCCCTCCTGTCCCCAGCCTGCTCTTACCACCTGAGTCATCTTGAGGCATAGTTTCTTGTGTGCTGCGGTCAGCATGGCCAAGGCCCCAGCTGCTGCGTTCTGCAGCTTATCATCATCCTCTCCGCAGAGCAGCACCACCAGCTTTAGACGGTCATTCCCGTCGGCCAGGAACCTCTCCTGAACCTGTTCCGGGGCAGGTGTGTGACTCAATGAGAGATGTCCCATGCCTGCACCTCTCAAGGACAGAAAGAGGCAGCTGAAGTTCCCCGACCTAGGATCTCTGGGAGATTTGCTTTGAGCTGTTCCTGCATAAAGCTCTTCCCTGATTGCCTGAGTGAAGGAGGCTACAAATGCCCGCAGCCAAAAGGCTAAAGAAAAAAAAAAGGCCATTTCCCACCTCCTCTATATTGTGTGGTCTTCCCATTCTTGGCATCTCTACTCTAGGAAAAGCTGTAACTTCTCTTTGGGGAATACAGATTGCTTCCCCCACAGCCCTGGGCTTTTGTGGTCTGCTGTGCAATGAATTTGCTGTCCCTGAAAGCGTGGGGACTTGTACAGACGCAGGGGCAATTAGGAAGTTTGCCTGATATTGGGGAGTGGGTGTCCTGTCTCCACCAGATGAGACTGAAGCATCCCAAACACCTGAAAGCAGAAGCTGCCTGATGCCCACCCAGCACTCTGACCTGCCACAAAGAGGTATTAAGGCCCCATGGTATCTTACTGCCATACTTTACATGACAGTAAAAATCTAGCGGATCAAGTTTAAGGACATTCTATTGGAGCAAATATCTAAATTGTAGATCTCTGAAAGAGGATAAAGGTCACAGATACTCAGGTAAGAGTCTCCTTCTGCATCTCCCTGGATCTAGAGTAGTGGCCATCAGAGGGGAGGTATGAAAGAAGAAGTCAGTATGGCCCTTTCTTCTGGAAACCAGCTGGAAGCCGCTGGAAGCAGCTGTCCCACCAAGGACTACAGCCCTCTCCTCTACTACACCTTGATGTGGCCATGGCCTAGTTATCACTGATGGAGTGGAAGCCGAGTTGAGCTGTGTCACTGACAGGCCACCTTGGGTAAGCGGCACAGTTCTCCTACTGTGGTCGTTCCTACTCACTACCAAACAGAGATCACTCCAGGGTGGCAGGAGGGCGGCACTTCTTGATGCCCCAAAAGGCTTGGATTCCTAGTCACTGTGTAGACAAGCCACCAACTCAATGGCACTCTAGCATGACCAGAAATGAACTTCTGTCCCTTAAGACTGCTATGTAGTTTGATTCTCTTGTTGCAGCAGCAGGTGATCCCCCCAGGGAAGTTTGCCTCCTCTTTCACATTGCCCTCTTTGTACCCCACCACCATCCCTGACTCCTTGGACACACCCTTTTTCTCCCATATAACTGCCAGGTCCTAGATCAGCCTTAGGCCAGCCCCTTGGTAGACTCAATCACTGCTGACTAACTCTAGCAAGCTTTCATAAGTTGGGTTTTCCTCCATGTGGTAGTTAGAATAAAAATGGTCCCATAGGCTCATAGGTTTGAATACTTGGCCCCAGTTGGTGGAACTGTTTGGGAAGGATTAGGAGGTGTGGCTTTGTGGAAGAGGTGTGTCACTGGGGGTGGGGGGCTTTGAGGTTTCAAGACTCCTGTGATTCCTGCTGCTCTCTCTTTGCATTGTGGTTGTGGATCGAGATGTGAGTTTCCAGTTGTTCCCTTGGTCTGCCATCACGGACTCTAACCCTCCAAAACTGTACACCAAATCAAATGCTTTCTGTAATAAGTTGCCTTAGTTCTGGTGTTTTATAACAACACTATAAAAGTAAATAAGACACTCGGATAACAGGAAAGGGTCTAAGATTTGAATTAGGTATAGGGGTGAAAAGTCTCAGGCCTCAAAGGTCCTTGCATGAGGGCTCAGATTCCAGAAGTATCTCATATCTGGACCTGTCATGACTCTGATGTACCCTGCAGGCACAGTGACGCTTGGTCACCATGAAAGGAAGATACTCATCAGAGGTTCATAATTTGTCCTGTTTCTTGACCATGAAGCCCTGTGGTATGTCCTTAATTCATTTTCTTTTCTTTTCTTTTCTTTTCTTTTCTTTTCTTTTCTTTAGACAGGATTTCTCTGTGTAATAGCTCTGGCTGTCCTGGAACTCACTCTGTAGACCAGGCTAGCCTTGAACTCACAGAGATCCGCCTGCCTCTGCCTCCTGAGTGCTGGAATCGAAGGTGTGTGCCACCACCGCCCGGCTCATTTTCTCTGTAGATCCTATGATTACTCAGTGGTTAAGTACAGCTATGATGCATTGCAGGTTCCGTGGACCTGGTGATATTCATACTGAGCTGTTCTAAAGTGACTCAGAACTGTGCTTTAGCATTTCTTTACTGTCCTGTGGATCTTTAGTGATGACAAGTGGTCTAGCCTCTCTTAACCTCCAAGAGCCCTGATCTCCCAGCTGCCTTGCTATGACATTATTTAGGCTTAATTAACTTAGAAAAAAATGCACCTTCCACCTCACTAAGACTCAGCTTCATTACACCATGAAGTTTCCTTAGGACTCCTACAGGGAAAGAAGGCCCTAATCTAGGTGTGATCTGGGGACTCCTGAGTTCTCTGATCAAAATGCTCGTTAGTACCGTCTCATGGCCCCAGCCCCATCCCAAGGCCAACATTTATGTCTTGGTTACCCCATCCCCTAGAGCCCCAGCCTCATCCCAAGCCTGATGCTCACACCTTGGTCACCCTGTCCTCCGGAGCCCCAGCCTTACCTCCTTGTTGAGTACCATGTTACACATGCATTCAGTGGCTGCCTGCCGTAGCTGGTCATGGTTTTCAAACATGTAGTTCTCAATGTCTGGCAGGGCCTTCTCCTTGAAGATCTTCTGCCTAGAGCAGAGGGGAAGGGACAGAGGGCCTTGGGTCCCCAGCGGTGAGCATGTGAGACTGATCATGCAGGGTTCTTCCTCTATCTTCATGAGGTCCCTCCCACATCCTCAGCCTATACAGTGTAAGGGGCACTGGGCCCACCCCCAGAAGAGGCACCAATAGATATAAATTAAATGGCATGACAATGTCTCCTGGTCACAGCAAAGGGCTCCAGGATAATTGTGTCAGCCCACTGAAGACATTATTATTATTATTATTATTATTATTATTATTATTATTATTATTGGAAAAGGAAATTCTCTTCTGTTCCTGCTGTATATGAAGTCAAGAGCTACACTGTGACCAGGAGAGAGGAGAAAAGTCCATCTGAAAGTTAAGACAACAGAGGGGAGGGAAGAGAAGGGGACTGGATGACCAGTAAGCAGACAACTTCATAATCCCTGCATCCAACCACACCTGACTGGTTTATCCCAAACTTCATTTGCACGAGTCAGTACACTTCCTTAATTCAAGAGCCAGTTAGGCTAGGTTGTCTGCCACCTAAAACCACAACACAACACAGTCTGCTTCCAAGGAGGAATACCAATTAACCCTTCCATCCACCTGGCTGTGCCTTTGCGACGTCGGCTTTATACAGTCCCTGTGTTTTGATAGGGTGCCAGCTCAAACCCCCTCCTGTCCTTGTTACACATCTGATGCGGTCATCCGAGCAGAGGAGTCAGTACACGGTCTGTACAAAGCTTCAACCAAACGCTCTGCCGACACCTCTTGTGTACCTCGGCCCTCCCGACCTGGCCCACTTACCTAAGTTTATCACTGCGCCCAGACAGGTTGGTGAGTCCTAGGAGAGCCTCATAGTTCTGAAGCCCATCCCTCTGTGTGTCCAGGAGACTCACGAGGGGCCGCACCACCTCATACACCTGTGGGGGTGACACAGGTCAGGTGAGATTCCCGCATTTCCCAGTCTCTTGCATCTGATGCTTTACATTCCCAAAGCCCTTTCTCTCCCGTACTCTGTCTGGTTTAATCTGCACGGTGATCCTGAGAGGCTAAATTGTTTCCTTTTTTTTTTACTGTTCTGATGAGAAAGCTGAGTTCGGGAGGATAATCATATTCACTAGAGGCAGAGCCAGGCCTGGTGTCCAGGTGTCTCTGATTCATTATCCTCCCTGTGACAACACCACGACCCTTTCTTAGCAGAAAAGACACAGGGACAGAGTCCTAAGAGCAACGGAGCACCCCCTCCCTTGCTTCTCATACCCACCCGCTCCCCGGGGAAGGCGATGTCCGGATTGGAGACAGCAGCAATCTTGGCTAGCCCATGGGCTGCCTTCACCTTGCCAACATCTGTACCCTCCAAAGCCAGGGGGATCAGGGCCTGCAAGAGAGAGCACAGTCACTAGCCAGCCATAGACATCCAGAGGCCTCTCTCTCCCTCCTCTAGCTCCAGCTGCCTTCTGTCTGTCTGTCTCATCAGAGATTCACAGCATAATCAGCTCTGGAGCACTGTTCCTATCTTGACAAAGTCCCAAAGGTTCACGTGTGTGAGGCTTGGTCCCCAGCTGTCGGTGTGATGGGAAAGTGACTGGACCCTGAGAGTTCTGAGCTAATCCTCAGATTAACCCTTTGATCAGCTCACCGCTGAAGAGACTATTCGGAGGAAAGCCCTGGTCAGAGGGAGTGTGACTTTAATGGGTGTTGTAGTCGTATTTGCTCTGCCCATGACCTTGGGCTATAGGGCCAGAAGGAGGCAGAGAGAAGGGTCACAGGCCCTTGCTCCCTGATGCCTGTGAGGTGGATTCGCTCCTGGTCAGATCAGAGGATAACTTCAGCTGTCTACTCCATTCTGTATTCCTGGGTGTATTTCCTCAATTTATATCAGAATAAATCCCTATTACCTATTAAATAGGCTCACGTGGATTGATCTTAATAGGATGTATCTCATTTCCCTCCCTCCCCTTTCCCTCTCTTCCCTCCCACTCACTCCTGAGTCATAATTGAGCAACTTTGCTTGGCTTCACACTCGGCCACCGTGAGGTTCTGCCCCATCATCACTGATTCACAGTGAGCCCATCGCGGACCAGAACCTCTAAGAACATAAACCCAAAGCAATCTTTCTTCCTCTTCAGTTCTCATCTCAGACGTTTGTCACAGAGACAAAAGTCTAACACCATATAAATCTATTAATACCTGTCAAGGATTCACCACCCTGGTTCCCAGGGACTATCAAGGTCCCTTACCTTCACTCCACCCTCCATTTTGGAAAAAAATTATCAGTAGATTTTTTTTACTAGGCACTGGTCTAAAATCTCAGCATGCAGGAGGAGGAAGCAGGAAGGTTACAACAGTTCCAAGTCCAGCCTGGATTACACATATTTGAGACTCTGTCTCAAATTATCATCATAATAATAACAATTAATATCTATGGATTGTTTTACATTTTGCCCAAGATAAATCTAATCCTAATAGCCAGTGTTTATTGAGCAGCTACTGGGAATTGAATGTATCTAATCTACTTCCCACGTCTATCTGAAAAGTGGGACTGTGACTCCTCCTCCTCTCCATTTTGCTGTGGAAGAAATTACAGTGCAGAGGGAGTAAAGTGCCCGGGTTTGCACAGCTAAAAAGCAGAAGAGCAAAGCTCCACTGTAAGGCTTGTGTGGGGAAGCCCATGATCTGCCTTCACACCAGCCAGAATGGCAGGGAGAGCGCCTGAGATTCCAAAGTAGATACCGACATCATCAATTCAAGAAGGAACCAGTGAATTAGACAGTGCAGATAACTCGATGAGTGTGTTTCAGGAAGTTAAGGAGGTTTGAAGCACATGATTTGGGGGTGAGAGAAGGGAGACTCACATATATACATGTGTATGTAGCATGTGCAGGCAGAGAGAGAGAGAGAGAGAGAGAGAGAGAGAGAGAGAGAGAAACACTTTGTGTGTGTGCTCCTTCCCAGTAGATTGCCTTTTAGAACAGCAAGGACTTCATCTTGCCTAATTACCTTGCCACCACCTTGAGCTACAATGGTGCCCCGGTCCTTTGGGTTGTCACAGAGTGCCAGGAACACCCTGCAGAGCCAATGACAAGGGAGAATGAACATTCACTGTTCCTGTACAGCATTCCCAGGAATCACACACACACAGCCAATCAGAGCCAGGAACCCCCAGCACAACAGTGGAAGCCTGGAAAGGTAGACCATGTGCCCTTGATGGAGTGAGCCACCTTTAAAGACATTGTCATGCACATAAGTGGTGGGGGAGGAAATAAGACCAAGCAAGGCTTCAAAGAGCCATCCCATTCCTGTTTCTGGAGACAGCCAACAGCTCCCTGCTACCCCAATCCAGAAACTCTCCCTGTCTATCCCCATCGTCTGGCCCTGATCCCATGTAATACCACCACCACTGGTAACACCCCAGACATACCACAGGAGAAACCAAACTCTACTCTTTTGGGGGAGGGAGGAGCCTAGGAGGGAGAGGGGGTAAGAGGAGGTGGGAAGAGAACATGAGGGAACCGGATGGTCAAGTTGGGGGAGGGACAGAGAGGGAGAGCAAGGAAAGAGATATCTTGATAGAGGGAGCCATTATGGGGTTAGGGAGAAACCTGGTGCTAGGGAAATCCCCAGGAATCCACAAGGACGACCCCAGCTAAGACTCCTAGAAATAGTGGAGAGGGAGCCTGAACTGGCCTTCCCCTGTAATCAGATTGGTGACTACCCTAATTGTCATCATAGAGCCTCAACCAGCGACTAATGGAAGCAGATGCAGAGATCCCCAGCTAAGCACTAGGCAGAGCTCCTGGAGTCCAGTCGAAGAGAGGGAGGAGGGATTGTATGAGCGAGGGCGTCAAGATCATGATGGGGAAACCCACAGAGACAGCAGACCTGAGCTAGTGGGAGCTTATTGACTCTGGACTGACAGCTGGGGAATCTGCATGGGACTGAACTAGGCCCTCTGAATGTGGGTGACAGTTGTGTGGCTTGGGCAGTTTGTGGGACCACTGGCAGTGGGACCAGAATTTATTCCTAGTCCATCAACTGGCTTTTTGGAGCCCATTCCCTGTGGAGGGATACCTTGCTCAGCCTAGATACAAGGGGGAAGGGCTTGATCTACCTCAACTTGATAGGCCAGACTTTGTTGACTCCCATGAGAGGCCTTACCCTCTGAGGAGTGGATGCGGGTGGGGGGGCCGGGAACTGTGGTTAGTATGTAAAATAAAAAAAAAAATCAGCCAGGCAGTGGTAGCACACACCTTTAATCCCATTACTCGTGAGGCAGAGGCAGGCAAAGGGAACACTCCTCCACTGTTGGTGGGAGTGCAAACTTGTACAACCACTGTGGAAATCAGTATGGCAGTTTCTCAGAAAATTGGGAATCCATCTACCTCAAGACCCAGCCATACCACTCTTGGTATACCCAAGGAATGCTCAATCATACCACAAAGATACATGCTCAACTATGTTCATAGCAGCATTATTCGTAATAGCCAGAACCTGGAAACAACCTAGATGCCCCTCAACTGAAGAATGGATTAAGAAAATGTGGTACATATACACAATGGAGTACTATTCAGCAGAGAAAAACAATGACAGCATGAAATTTGCAGGCAAATGGATGGAACTAGAAAATATCCTGAGTGAGGTAACCCAAACCCAGAAAGACAAACATGATATGTACTCACTCATAAGTGGATACTAGATATAAAGCAAAGAACAATCAGACTGCAACCCACAGAACCAGGGAGGCTATATAGCAGGGGGGACCTTTGGTTTTACTCAATCACTGGGCAAGCTTCAGTGAAACATTTCACTATAAAGATAAGAATTTGTACTGTATCAAGCTGATAATAGAAATAAAATAAAATAATAATGAAAAAATAAAAAATAAAATGTTTCTCTACCATTAAAAAAAATATCAGCCAGGCAGTGGTGGCACACACCTTTAATCCCATTACTCGGGAGGCAGAGGCAGGCGGATCTCTGTGAGTTCAAGGCCGACCTGGTCTACACAGTGAGTTCCAGGACAGCTAAGGCTGCTACACAGAAAAATCCTGTCTCAAAAAAAAAGAAAACAAACAAACACACACACACAAAAAAAAAAAACCACCTCCTCCCTCTCTTTGACTGGACTCCGGGAGCTCTGCCCAGTGTTTAGGGACAGATCTCTGCATATGCCTCCATCAGTTATTGAATGACGGTTCTATGATGATAATTAGGGTAGTCATCAATCTGATTACCGGGGAAGGCCAGTTCAGGCATGGAAACTGCTGGGAAGGGGAAGTAGATAAGATCTCCAAACTCTACTCTTTATCCCTCCATCCCTGCTGCCTTTGCACATGCTGTTCCCTCTTTCCTGGAGCCCTTCCCTTCCCTGCACTTGGCTGGCTCCCTTTCTTGCTTCAGGACTCTGTTGAATTACCACCTCTACCAGGAGGCCTTCCTGGATGTCCACCCACTTACCTTCTAGCTGGGTGACTGGGACCTCTTGCCTGGACTCCAGCCAGTCCTCTGTGCTTCCCTGTCATGGCATTTACCACTGTGCTGTGACTGAGATCTGCCTGCCTCCTCTCTAGGCTACCCTTCATCTCTGAGGAAAAGGTAACTAAAAGGGACAGTGGTCACCTCCTAATACAAATTTTCAACCTCGGTGGCCCACCTTATCATGTCTCTTCCCCATGTTCTCTAAGCCCTTGCTTAGTCTCCACCATTCTAATCCCTCCATCCAGCTCCCGCCTCCCAGTCTCCACAGTCCACCCTGTTTGCACCTGGCCAGCAGCTCCTTGGTCTGGTCTGTGAGGATCGCACTGTCCGCCTTCACCATGCAGGCCAGGGCAGAGATGACACCTGCCTTCAGGAGCCGTTTCACCCGCATGTCTACGAAGTCCTTCTTGTCCTGGAGGGGACAAAGGGTGGACCTGGGGAAGGGACCAGTGATCAGGCAGCCCCAGGTTGAGTCATTATGACAGATCATCATCAGAGTGGGGAGTGGACCGGAGCGGGGCATGGTGCATAATCTCTGGAAATGTGCTGAGAGCTCACACACAGCCGTGGGGCATGTATGTGTGCCACATCCCCGTCTGGAGGAAACACAACCCAGTGGTAAGAGCTGTGGAGGACTGGGGATGCAGCTCAGTGGTAGAGCACCTGCCTAGCAGGCAGGAGGCACCGAATCCAAACCCTTGCATCACAAAGAAATGAAACAATTGAGAGAATGAGATGGCAACATGAATATGCTCCCAATGTCTGTCACAAAGTGACACTCACATTCTGATTGTAACTATAGAGGAGACAAAAAAAAGAAAAACTTCCTGTGGGTAACACAAGAAACTGCCTGCAGTGGTCCTGTGGAAATGGTGTCTCCTTGTAGCTAAGTTCTCCTTCCTCTCTACTGTCCACCACTCCACTTTGTAACACAGGTATGACTTTTATCATTTTCTAAAATCCAAATGCTCTCACTAGCTGGTAGCGTTTTTTCCATAGTTACCCCTATACAAATGACATACAATCACATCCTTGTGTAGAAGTAATCACCATACATACCCTTGTGTTAGGGGCTTTGACATTTGCGCTCTTAGAAACCTGTGTTCCTCCTCTGTTCCTACTCAGCACTCATATCCCTAAGTCCAGATATCCCAGAAAATCACATTTTTATGATTTGGAAGCATGAAATGAAACACAAGTATCCATGAAATCAGCAACAAATGTTGCAAAATGTTCATCTGGCTCTGTTCAATCAGATTACAAAATTGTCATCCACCCATTCTCCCCTCCCTCTTCCCAACCCCCCCTCCCCGCCCCCGGCCCGCAGAAAATTAAAAGACAGGAATCATGAGCGCCACCTAGAGCGCCACCTAGTGGGAAAATCTACTATTGTCATTGTCAAACCGCCCAACACATCCCACACCACGTTCCTGGCGGTCTGACCACACAGCTCCTCCCCTGAGCTGCCCTGTACCCACCTTGGGGTGCTCCTCTGGTACGTGTTGCTTAGAGAATTTGGCCAGCTGCACCAGCTCAGGGATGACCTCCTTGACATCATAGCTGTTGGAACAGTTTACCAGGGTGTTGGCCACCGAGTACAGGATGGTCTTGTCACTAGTCTGGAGGCCCCCAGGGTAGGAAAAAAAAAACAGAAAAGAGTCACTTTAGTGTATATGAGTGGAAGCCTCTGGGCTGATCCCAGCGGATCCCCTCCCATACTTCCAGAAGAGCCCGGGCACCATCTGGGCTACCTCAGGATCTCACTGCCAAAGGGTCACAGGCAGACATGTCCTGACATCTGGACAGGACAGAGTCATGAGTTCACCTTCAATCAGGTAGATGAGGGCCATGCAATAAAAGAGCCAATCCAGCTTCACCAGGGAGGCTGGAGCCAGGGTGAGCCCACAGCCAGCTGAGCCCCGAGGGCCAGGGCCAGGCACCCTTTCCTGAGATTGGAGATCGGGACCACTTGCCTTGGCCAGCTCGAACATGGCCTGCAGAGCAGGGATGTCCTGGACAAAGTCATCCTTCACATCAGCATCCAGTGTGAGGTAGGCCAGGCCTTCCACCGCCCAGCGCCGCGTCCGGGTGTCAATGGCGGTGTTGCACAGCCACCTAGAGGCAGAAAGGTGGAGAAACCGCTGGAGGAGCCGGGGCTCTGGCCAAGAGTGACTCAGGCTCAGGAGAGCAGGTGGCCCGTGAAGGGGTCTTTCCTCACCCGACGTCACTGAAGCCCACCCCAGAAACCCCCATAGAGGCCCATGAGGAAGCAGAGGGTCCAGCCTCTTACTTTCGACACTGCTTGGCCAGCTTCTCCGTTGACCCTTCAGCAAACTGTCTGAGGCCATAGTCTGAGCCCCCAGCTGAGCCAAGTTTACAGAGGCCCTGTGGAGACGGGATACACGGAAGGATCAGCAACACTGAGGCCTGAGTCAGGCCCTGTAGCCCCATGGTCAACACTGTCCCCTTTTCTCTACCCGGATACACCTCTGTGCCCTTCCACCTCTTCTGAGATGCCCCACCCAATGCCCCATGTTAGGGAGGATGCTCACTATTTTGATCTCAGAGATGTTTTGAAAACTCTGCACACTAAATATCTGCAGCCGCTGTGAGAAACCTCGAGACAGCATGAGATGACAAAGAAGTCACATCACATGGACAACAAATTCACACATACAAAATCTAACAGGGGGGTGGGGGGGACGGACCTTGTCAGGAAAAAACAATGTCTTCCGGAGCAGAAAAGCCATCATGCCCATAGCAAAAAAGTTTCTAAAAAAATGACATGAGAGCCAGGCATAGAGACATATACTTTTAATCACAGTACACAGGAGTCAGAAGCAGGTGGATCTCTGTGAGTTACGGGCCAGCCTGATCCACATATTGAGTTCCAGGCCAGTCCAGGCTACACAGGGAGACCCTGTCCCAAAAACTAACAAACAAAATTGACTGACATGAGGGGCTAGGGAGATGACTCATTGAGTGAAGAACTTCCCCTGCAAGCATGAGGACCTGGGTTCAGATCCCCAGAACACATGTGAAGCTGGACATAGCACAGGCCTGTATACTAAGTGCTCCTTCAGTGAGGTGGGAAGCAGGAATGGGAGAAGTATATGGGCCAATCAGCCTGGTTATGCAATGGCAAGCAATTACAGACCCTGTCTCAAACAAGGTAAAAAAAAAAAAAAAGGAAGGATCAATATCCAGGGTGTCCATTAATGTCCACACATGTGCCATGGCATGTATACACACACACACACACACAGAAAGAGAGAGAGAGAGACAGAGACAGAGACAGAGAGACAGAGAGACAGAAAGAGAGACAGAGACACAGAGAGAGAGATTTAAAAATTATATGATCCAGACATAGTAGTAGTACAGACCTATAATCCTAGCCCATAGGGAGCAGGAGAATCATGAGTTGAAGGCCAGGCTGGCATACTTAGTATCTTTGAGACCAGCCTGGGATCCATAGCAAGACTAAATAAAAATAAATAAATAAATAAGACTAAAATGTCTGGAGCTATAGCCTGTAACTCCAGCACTCGAGAGGGTTAGGCAGGAGAATTGCAAGTTCAAGGTTGGCTTGGGATACATTACCACAATAACAGTAAGCTAGAACCTATCTTTTAAAAAAAAATCAATGTGAATTAAGATCCAGGTGAATGAATCAAATCTTCTCTGTAATTTTTTATGAGGCAAAGAAAAGAGAATGAAAATAATTCAGTAAGGTGAAAATAGTAGAATTTAAAAACCTAATTCCTCTACATGCCACGGCTGATGGAAATGAATTTGTTGGTGTCCGCTCCAAAAGTACTCCCTGGATGGTATCTGTGTTTGGCTCTTCACAGTACAGAGGGTAATTTCCTAGTGCTAAATGCAGGGCCATCCTCCTACCCCTCTCTTCCCACAACCCTGCCTTTCACTCTGTCTGTGGGGGCACATGGATGGGCCTGCCTGAGGGGTCCCTGGTACGTAACCCCTTGGCCTGGCTGGCTTTATATCAACTTCACGTAAGCTAGAGTCATCAGAGAGGAAGGAGCCTCAACTGAGAAAATTCCTCCACAAAATCCAGTTGGAAGGTATTTTCTTAATCAGTGATCAGTGGGAGAGGGCCCAGCCCATTGTGGGTGGTGCCATTCCTGGGCTGCTGGTCCTGGGTTCTGTAAGAAAGCAGGCTGAGCAAGCCACGAGGATCAAGCCAGTAAGCAGCACCCCTCCATGGCCTCTGCATCAGCTCCTGCCTCCAGGTTCCTGCCCTGTTTGAGTTCCTGTCCGGACTTCCTTCAATGATGAACAGTGACCTGGAAGTGTAAGCTGAATAAACCCTTTTCCTCCCCAACTTGCTTTTCAGTCATGGTGTTTCACCACAGCAACAGTAACCCTAACTAAGACACCTCCCCCCACCTCAAGGATGGGGGCCATGTCTCATTCATCCTGGTGACCCTGACACTCCGCACCCAGGCCGCTCACCACCAGCGTGCGGATCTTGATCTTCTCGTTCTTCGTGGTCTTGTAGATCTGCTTGAGAAGCGACACGCCATTGGTGATGATGAAGGTGGCCCGGCTGAGCTTAGTGGAGGCATGGATGAGAGCCTCCACGGCCACCAGCTGGTCTGCCTCACGCTCCGAGCCACACAGCGCCACCATCATCTCCATCACACCCTTCATGCCCAGCAGCTGATTGCCCAGGTCAAAGGGCCCCTGCAAGATCCCTGACACTGTCTGGATGGCATTCACATTCTTGTCCATGTCCTGGGGATCAAACTTGCTCCTGAAACAGAGGACAAAGGTGGTCAAGAGAATCAGCCCAAAGGGGTGGAAAGAGTAGGACATGGGGGGAGGATTTGAATTTGCCTCCACCCCTGAGCTGTGTGACATTGGGCAATTCGCCGAACCTTTCTGAGTCTCAGCCTTTTGGTCTATAAATAGAGAGTGTAGTACTGTTATTTCTTAAGGACAGATGGCATCACAGCTGGTCACAGGGTATGTCCCCCTGGCAGCACACTCTGTGACCTCCAAGAAGTTGAATTATTAGGCAGAGAAGGAAGCAGCATTGAGGGAGGCACTGGCCTGCAATGCAGTCACCCCGAACTTTCTCCCTTGAAGAGTTTTGAGCTGGAGCACCCGAAAAACAGTCATTTTAAATTGAGGTGAGTGACAAGTCATTAGTTGCTCGTTTCACAGGGAAAAGTGAGATAGCCCCCGCTGCTGAGGCAAGGACCAATGAGAGACCACAGCTCATTGCTATCAGCCAACAGCTCCAGCCTTCTCAACCTAGAAGGACAGAACACAGCCACAGCCACACACTGGCCCACTGCAGCGCCTGACAAGCCGCCCCTGTCAAGTGAGGGTGCAGAATGCAATTTGGGATCTCATGAGATGAAACAGTGGGGGAGCACCCAAAAGCAGGAGTGGAATCACCAGATACTGGGAAGGGGTCTGGCAAAGAGCAGACTCATTTTGTGTTTTCACAGCAAAGACAAACAAGGACATAAATGGGGACCAGGATGCACACAGGGCCCCAGAATTAAAAACGCAGCATCAGCCGATGCGTCCTACAGACACAGGTGTGAGCAGAGTGGCCTCCTGACACCGGCCTTACCCCAGTAGCTGATCAACAAGCTGCCTTCCACTGAGCTCAGGGATGTGGACCAATCAGGACCGAACACTCTACCAGCATGAATTCCTCATGTACAGGGGGGACCTACATGGGAACTTTGGAGTGCAATATGTTCTGTATCTGCCCTTACCTTTGTTTAGGGAGCCACCTCCTGACCAAGGCTCGGTCAGAGCTTCATCTCCCATTTAGCTGGACCTTGCACCACAATAAAAAAGTTTTGCCTGTAGCCCTCTAGGTCCAAATTTCTTTCTTTCTTTCTTTCTTTTTTCAAGACAGGGTTTCTTTGTGTAGTTTTGGAGATTATCCTGGACCTCGTTCTGTAGACCAGGCTGGCCTCGAACTCACAGGGATCCTCCTGCCTCTGCTTCCCAAGTGCTGGGATTAAAGGCATGTGCCACCACCACTCAGCTCCAGATTTCTTTCTAGGGATTATGGAACCAAGACTCAAGCTCCAAGGGCAGCGGGGCTCTCAGGGTGAGCAGGACCGGCTGAAGCTCAGGCAGATAAGCAAGAACCACAAGGAGCTTTAAGAGCCAGGGTCAGGGTTAGCAGGAACACAGGACTGAGAGGAAGCTGGCATGCCTAAGAGCTCAGGGTAGCTCTTCAATTGGCAGTTGAAAAAATAAATACACAGGTGAGAGCAGTGTATGGATTTGCCAGGGATGGCGGCTCACACCTTTCATCCCAACACTCAGGAGACAGAGACACTTGAGCTCTGTGAGTTATAAGAGGCCAGCCTGATCTACATAGAGAGTTCTAGGCCGGTAGGAGCTACATAGTAAGACCTTTTCTAAAAAAACAAAAACAGATGTATGAGTTTGTCCTACAAAATCTGAACTCTCTCTTCCCTGGCCCCTTACAAAAATAGTACGCCATCCTAGAAAGAGAGAAAGAACACAGAATAAAGGTGTTGTCTTTGCCCACCTAGGACCCATCCAGGGTGAACCTTCCTAAGCCACACCCCAGGCTTTGAGGCCTGGGTAGTGTCCCAGAAATCTAGACCATGTACAGATTGGAGAATCCTTAGAATTAATTGTCAAACAGCTGCATCAAAGCAGTAGGGGGGGGACGGACATGTAAGGAGAGAGACTCTTCAGCAGATGATGGGGTGGTCCACATGGGGGCAACTGCTGTTCTCCACCAACAGCCAGGACTGGTGCACCACCATGTTAGTGCAGCCTCCCAGAGATATCTTCTAACCCCAGTCAAGCCATTGGATGGCTGCGGCCCAAGCCAACATGACTGTGACTTGATAGGAGACTCCAAGCCAGCTGCACAGGTCCCCAGTACCCATCCTACTGAGGGGTAATAGAGTACTATTATTTCTGTAAGTTACTGAAGGTTGGGGTGACTGGCTACACAGCCATAGATGGCTAAGGCCTTCAGGGAACTCACGTGATGTACTCCTCGCAGATCTTGCGGAAGTGGTCGCGCTCTGGGTCACAGCGCAGGTCATCGTAGAGCTTGTTGATGAGGATGGAGGCCAGCATGCGGGTGTTGTCAGTCAGAGGCAGGCAGGAGGGCAGATCTGGAACCTGCCCCACCACCTTCAGGATCTTCCTCAAGCCTAAGGGGTGGTAGCAACAAGAGTAAGATTCCTGAGGGTCTCTGTCCCCCTCAAAAATGTCTCATTGCTGGCTCCCTACCAACTATGGCTTCAGACACAGTACATGGCCTCTCCAGAGTTCAGGAGGACACTGGAGAGGGGACAAGAAGTCCTAGCCTTTCATCTGACTCTGCACCTGTGGGACAATCCACCTGCTGCATGGCCCTTATTTCCACCATACTTAAATTCAACACTAGTTCATCTCAGAAGTCTAGACCAGCGCTGCTGTTTCTGGATTGTGTATGAACTTCCTTATATACGACTTCATGTCATATTATCTTTTCCTTGGACCTCAGTTTCTTCATTTACAAAGGTAAAAAAGTAGAACCTATTTTACAGACTTGAGGACACTGTCAGCTAATGTACAGAAATGGCCTACCACCCATCCAGAGGCGGGATCACTCTGCAAATGTCTATCATCTCTTTGTTAGTTATTATCATTATCTCGTCTCACTTTCTTATTGAAGAACCTTCAGTGGCTTCCTCCACCAGACTAAATTCAAGGTCCACATGCTTGTTGAATGAATAGATTAATCACCGAGCCCCCTGTCTCTCCTACCTTCATCACAGTGTGGAAAATGAGCGTGTAAACCTGGCAGGAAGGGTCTACCGGTACTGAACGCTAATGATGCCAATGAGGCACCTGGAGACGAGGACGGTGCTCAGTGACAGAGGGTGCTTCCCTAGCATGGGAAAGGCCCTGATTTGACTCCCATGTCCCCAAACGGTGAGGGGCAGACTGTTCCGAGCATTTCCTTAGTGCCAAGGGGCTTGTGCATGTTCCCTGAACTGAGTCCAACAACCACCCTACTTCTTAACAATCAGTTCCATCTTTCAGACTTGGAGAAGCCAAGGATGCCACTCGTGAGCTTGTAGTTAGCCAAGTGACACACAGAGAGGACACCTTCCCATGACGTCCATATTAACTGTCGCGCCATGAAGCCTCTGGGACATCCAATGTCAGAGGTAGCTTGGAGGTGGAGAGCTATCAGTGACATCAGTCAGAGGAAGGAAGAAGCGTTGAGGCAAATGCAGGAGGTGGGGGGCTCTGGGTGCTAGGAGGGAACTGAAAGTGATTGACAGCAATGTTATACTGGGTATATTTTACCATTTTAAGGAAAACCTCCACTTCCTACAACTCAGCTCTGACACTACCAGGGGTTGGCACAGACCCCTCAGACTGAGTGCTCAGTCCCATGAGATGGCCTCCACTGCAGGCCCAGGGGCTGGGTCCCAGCTTCCCCTGATCCTCTGCCCAGTATGCCTGCAAACAGAGGACCTTGGGATCGCCTTCTCAGGTCAATAATGTGTGAGAACGGCTCGTCACGGAACTCAGGAGAACAGTTTACCTACAAGGCCATCAGTTCTGACCCTTCTCACTTAGGGGTAGGTTTGCATTTTGCTTTGTTGAAATGGAGGCCTCATGATGTAGACAGGATTAACCATTACTGTCTGGTAGCGATTACCTCAGCCTCTGGCTCCCTCCCTTCCCCTGAGGTCAGAGCTGGGGGTGGAGGATACAGATGGGCAGAGTAGAAAGTCTCCCGTCTCTAACCACATGTCTCGCTTCCCTGAAACCTCCTTTTGCTCCTTCCAGACACCCCACAGGCACCCCAGCCACTAGCCTCACCAGGGTCTAAAAGATGCTCAGTGAAAATCACGACGGTTTTATGAATTACGTGCCAGGAGGGTGCAGAGACCACACACGTATTTCTTATTACATCACAGACTCACACACACACACACATACACACACACACACACACACACACACACACACACACACACACACACTAGGGTTCACTAAGGTAAGGCCTGGTGAGCCAACCCAGACACTGCAGCCTGGCTCGCAAAGACCTCCCCAGAATGCACCTGTTCCACCCCCCATCCCTAAATTCTCCTCTTACTTTTCCCTTCCATCCTGCCTATGGGCCCCTGTTGCTTCTCTTTTGTTAGATGACTCAGGGCCTCCCCCTGGTCAGTCTTTGCCTCTTCTCTAAGCCAGGAGCTTCCTTCAGGTTCAATCCCCTCACAGCACCCTCCTTGGCCCTGTCTCAGGCTGCAGCTCTGCACTGGCCTATCAGGGTTTCTAAATCCACTTTGTTCTCCTCTGAGAGCTAGTCAGTTCAGTGCCTTCCAACCATGGAAGAGAATAAAAAAATGTTTTTCCCCACCTACTCCATCCCATAAACCACGTACTTGGTCCTAGGGCAGAGAAGGGATCACTGTTGCTGCTCAGCTTTCAGAATATATGCAGAGACCAGTTGGGGTAGGGGAGCACGGCAACTGTCCTTAGACACTAGGGTCTAGTGTTAAAACTGAAGCAGTTGCATGTGCACTGTGTTGGGTGGGTACATGGGAAGCACAATATCTAAAGGAAGTTGACTTGAGCCTTTTAGAACAAGTTGTAAGCTATCTGTCATAAAAACCTGTGGGAGAATTAATCACAGCAGATTCTAAAGCCACGGGTGTCTTTCCTGCACAGTCAGAGTTGATTCAGGATCCAACTCACGCTTGCACTTAGCGACTATCTGCTAGAGCATTTCCACTTTGCTTGCTATAAAAATACATGTGACGTCATCTTCTCCCTTTGGAAGGCCTGTTCAGGATTTTACTAATCATGAGACTTCAGGCATGTTACCTCATGGTTCGTAGAGTCCTGTTTGTTACAAGCACTCAACCCTGTCTTTTAGGTGGCTCTACCCAATGTTTTGGGGTGTTAACTCTTGCCCTTAATTCAGAGCCTTAACCGCTTCAACAGTCCCTGGGGGATCCTAATACACCCATGCCTGCCACCTCCTCTAGTTGGGACTAAATAAACTCTCCAGACAACAACCTCCCTCTTCTTCTCTCTACACAGAGACAAGTGTCCTGAGCCTACCCTAATGGTGTGACTGAACCTCAAGTCCCTCTGTCCCCCACCTCACCGTTATCTACGACATAGATGGTGCGTGAGTTGTCATGAATGGACAGGTCCTTCCTGGGGACGTTCTTATTGAGCAGATTCAGTGCCTGGTCTCTGCCTTGCCCGGATACCTTCTTACTGACCAGCATGTCCAGCAGGTGGCTGGTGATCTGCTTCAGGTCCTTCTTGGTGTCTGAAGAACAAAGGAAAAGAGCAAGTAGAGACAATAGAAAATTTCACATAGAGAGGATCAAGAATGGCAGAAACTTCTAGAAGGATTCTGGAAGGACTGAACCCACTGTTTTCTGAGTGTTACAGTTTGAATATGAAACATCCTCCTGACAGGCTCCTTTGTGGAATGCCTGTCAGTTGATGGTGCTGTTTGGAGGGGTTCTGGAAACCGGAGGAGGTGGGGTCCAATTGAAGGAAGGCAGTCACTTGGGGCAGACCCTTGAGAGCTGTTTCTTGACCCAGGTGGTCTCTCTCCTTCCTTCTCTTCCTCCTCCTCTTCTTCTTCCTCTTCCCTCACTCCCCCTCTTCCTGTAAACCATGAGGAGGCCTCCTCCTACGCCTATTCCCACAGCATGATGCCTGGTGCTCTTCCAAGTGCATGACACCGAGCAACCATGCCATAAATCTTCTGAGCATGTGAGCAAAATAGATCCTTCCTTAAGCCGTTGTCCGATGTTAGGGTCTTGGTCATGCAAAAGTAGCTGGTACACTGAGCATGGGAATTTCCCAAGACAGTGCTGCTCATTTCACACTCCTCCACACAAAAGCAAAGACATCCCTAAGTAACATCCTCAAGGGTCACTCTGGCCATGGAATATTGTCTCCTCCAACATCCCCTTTATCTTCAAACAGTTCTTACTCTTGGAAAGCTCCTTACTGCCCGGCAATGACTGGCAGGGATCCAGGGACAGTTTGTATGGTTTTAATTAACTTTTTTTTCTTTCTTTCTTTCTTTTTTTTTTTTTTTGTTGTTGTTTTTTCAAGACAGAGTTTCTCTGAGTAGCCCTGGCTGTTCTGGAACTTTCTCTGTAGATCAGTCAGGCCTGGAACTCAGAGATTCACCTGCTTCTGCCTCCTGAGTGCTAGGATTAAACGTGTGTACCACCACCACCCTGCTAATCAACTTTTTTTTTAAAAGATACCTTCCAGGGGGCTGGCATTAAGAGAACTGCTCTTAAAGAGGAACCTGGAGTTCGATTCCCAGCACCAACATAATGGCTCACAACTATCTGTAACTCTAGTTCCAGGGGATCCAATGCCCTCTTCTGACTTCCACAGGCACCAGGCACACACATGGCACATATACATACATGTAGTCAAAGCATCCATACACATAAAACAAAACAAATAAGTCTAAAAAATGTTTTCCAGGAAGAACGCGTATACTTTGTTCAGATGATTCACTTCATTCAGATTCAGACACGCTGGGATATGGGTCCCAGCCTCTGTCTATGATGCCAGGACTCCCCTGCCCAGGGGTAGGTAAATATTAAAGAGCAATGCCTCTTCCTGACTCTGCTCTGACTGACTTCCTGAAACTTAGAGAGATGTTAGCAATTCCTGATCAGAGTACAAAGACAGACAAGAAGTGAAGGTCTCTACACTGTGTCAGATCAATGGCCGAGGAAGGGACCGTGCCACATGGGGAAGGAGAGGCCAAGTTGACGCTGTAGTTTGTCTGCAGACAGATGGGTCCTGAAATAGCGTGTTCATTCTTGTCTTAAGTGGTCCCTCTCCCACACTAGCTCTGGGTTGGTCATGTGACTTGGTACAACCAGAGATTTCCAAAGCACTTACTCCCTGAGGTGACCCATTTATTTTTATTTTTATTTTTTTTAGCTTTTTTTTTTGTTGTTTGTTTTTGGTTTTTTTTTGTTTTGTTTTTTTTTTTTTTTTGAGACAGGGTTTCTCTGTGTAGCTTTGAGGTGACCCATTTATAATCCACCTTCCTATCCTATAGAAATCCAAGAGAGCCATGAGAGAGGCCATGGGGGAAAATACCAAGGCTTCCGAGCAACCTCTCCAGCTAACCAGCAACTATCCAAGTGAAGCCATCTTGGACCTTCTAAAAAAGTCTGGCCCAGGTTGGGGATTTAGCTCAGTGATAGAGCGATTGCCTAGCAAGTGCAAGGCCCTGCGTTTGGTCCTCAGCTTCCGGGGGGGTGGGGGGGGTAGTCTGGCTCAGAAAAGACAAGCAACTCTGGCTATTACAGTAGTAAGTTAGGGCCAATCAAGAACTCAGGCCCCTAAAAGGTGAGTATTAATAATACACCAGGGGCTGGGCAGTGGCACACACCTTTAATCCCAGCACTTCGTAGGCAGAGGCAGGCGGATCTCTGTGAATTCGAGGCCAGCCTGGTGTACAGAGTGAGTTCCAGGACAGGCTCCAAAGCTACACAGAGAAACCCTGTCTTGAAAAACCAAAAAAAAAAAAGAAAAAAAGAAAAGAAAAAAGAAAAAAAGAAAGAAAATACACCAGGGACTCTCAGCAAGGGCAAGGTACACGGTTCAGTAAGAGAGTTCTTGCTTAGTAAACATGAGACCCTAGGTTCAATTCCCAGCACTGCACCACCCCCAAATCCTCTTTACAAACAAGAGAAGCAACGATGCCCCAACAGGAGCGATAGCCCGGACTTCCTGGACTTTGCATAGACTTCCCTGATCAAAGCTGAAGACACCTCCCGGCTGCTGTGATAGGAAACACCAGACCATGAAAGAGTGAAGAGTCCATGTCACCTATTCTCAGGAGCATGAATATCGCCTCCCTCCATTGCCCTCTCTCTCCCTCACTGTTTTCACCTCATACCTGGCCACCCTCAGCACCCTTGGCATGAAGAAGCAAATTTCTACTCTTTGGCCCCTGAAGAAAGTCTTCCTTTCTCCTCAGCACTGCAAGGAATGGAGCTTCAAGGCCCCAGACCTGAGTCTGATAACAAGTGCACAAACTACTGTTCCTCTCAGAAAGGAATCAGAAAGGTGTGGTGGCGCACACTTTTAATCCCAGCACTCAGGAGGCAGAGGTAGGTGAATCTCTGAGTTCAAGGTCAGCCCGGTCTACAGAGTGAGTTCTGGAACACCCAGGGCCATACAGAGAAACCTTGTTTTAGAAAAAAAAGTTCATTGAAATAATTTTTAAGAACATTAAATGGGGGTAGGCTGGAGAGATGTCTCAGAGGTTAAGAACACTGGCTGTTCTTCCAGAGCTCCTGAGTTCAATACCCAGCGACCACCCAGTGGCTCACAACCATCTATAATGAAATCTGGTGCCTTCTTCTGGCGTGCAAGCAGAACACTATATACATAATAAATAAATAAATAAATAAATAAATAAATAAATAATCTTTTTTTAAAAAATGAAATGGGCTGGGCTTGGTGGTGCACACCTGCAATGCCAGTACTTAGGAGGCTGAGGATGGAGGATGGGGAGTTCAGGACAGCATGGACTACACAGAGAGACCCTATCTAAAAAGAAAGAAAGAATATTAAACTATATGTACGTCAATCACTTTTCTCATAACTGGGTCAGAACACCTGGCAAAGGAATTTGGGAAAGAAAGGTTATATTTTGGCTCATGGTGGGAGAGTGATTCACGGCTGCGGCAGAGGAAGCAGAGGGTCCCACTGAGTAGATTAGAACACATAGTCTTATAGATTTCTGTATCTTTCCAAGTTTCCCCATGAGCTTCTGTTACACTATGATGAAGTGTGCATAGCATAAAAACTACCATTTTAACTATTTTTAAGTGTAAAATTGAGTGGCATTGAACAGGGTCACACTGACATGAACCATTGCCACCACCCACCACAGCACCCTCGAGACTGATAAACCGACAACTCCATACTCAGTAACTTACACCACTTTTACCCTTATGACCCAGAGACACATACTAAAATCAAACCAGGCCACCTCTGCACACAGGAGATGCCAAGGTGCCGACTGGCTCTGTCTTGGAGTCCACATGAACCAGAACAGAAGAATATCTCTTACCTAGAACCAAGGCCTCCTCTTTCCCTCGGTGCTCTCGCTTGTCCTCCCCAGACAGAGAGTCAATGATGGCCTGGAGCAGGTTGCAGACAGCCAGGGACATCTCTTCATTCTCCGTGGCCATGAGGCCGCAGATTCGGTCTATGCGGACTGTGTGCAGGATCGCTGTAGCCTAGACCCCAGCAGGAACAGAGTCAGCAGCAGCCCTGCTCCTCCCTCCTGCATGACACCCAGGTTAGGAGGTGGGTGGTGACTGTCCTTTCCACTTCATGCTTTAGGGAAGTGGAGGTCACAGGCTAGGAAACCTCCTTCAGGGAACTCTGAGCCATGTCACACCATACTGGAGTCCTGGGAGCATTGAGTCTGTGTGTGTGGTAAGACCTCACCAAGATATAAGTGTAGAAGACACACTGAACTCAGCGGCTGAGTGTGAAGAAACATACATGACAATGTTTTTTGAACTCAGCTCTTCCTGTAATCCACTTTCAACAATACCTTTGCTTAGTCAAGCCCACTTCCAAGCTCGCAGGGAAAGGGCCTGGAGCATTCTTGCGCCAGGATTCACATGACCCAGGCTGGAAGGCAGGGGACCCTTTAGGCTCTATCTCAAGTTCTATTCATGCCAGCCACAGCCCTGCCTGTGTGCCCCCCACCCTCTGCCTCCTTGGACCCGCAGCCATCCTCACCACCTGTCCCAATCCCCAGGCCCTCACCCTAGCTCGGTGCCCACTGCACATGCCAGACAAGGTCCGCACGGCAGCTAGCACCAGCTCAGGCCTCTTCGTGTCCATCAGCTGCAGCAGCAGGCCCACCCCATTGCTCTGGAAGATCCTCTCGGCCCCTGCTTCTTCACGGCCCAGGACGATGAGGTTGTTGGCAGCCTGAGGGAGAAGCAAGAAAAGCTGTCAGGAAGCTGGATAGAGGCCTTGACCATGAACCTAGGGCAGGGGTCAGAACACCAACTGCGTCTCGAGAACACTGGTATATTCTGTCCTCTTACAGCCCTGCTCCTGGAAACAGCCTAAGAACATCATCATCATCATCATCATCATCATCATCATCATCATCAAAGGAACATGCATAAGGACCAACTTGATAAATACATGGCACAGCCAGTGGGGGAGGTCACAGACACAACAAAGCCACCTGAAACAATGCTGACAGGTGGAACTGGGGTCATAGATTCACATGGTGTGTGGTGGTGTTAAAATAAAACTGCATCTCTGCTATGGATGGAAAGGGCTAGGAAAAGGTGGAAACGTGAAAGCTTTTTGCACGTTGAAATCATTTTCTTTTAACACGGCTGTCACGTGTTTTGTTTTTCTTGTTATCTGTTCCAGGGAATCTGAAGCTGTGGGGTTCTGGGAAGGTGGAAGATGGTGGGCACAGAGCACACTGAACAGGACTCAAAAGCCCGTGGCTGTGAGTTCAGGTTCTGCTACCGACCGGCTCCAGTCAGAACCCCTCTCTGAGCCCCCAGATACCTCATCTGAAAAATGAGGCAGTGGAGCTAAAGGACTAGGAGGCCCCCAAGTCTCTTCTCGCTCTGCTGTCTTCCCACGAGAGATACACGAACCTTCAAAGCCCCCCGGAATGCAAGGGAGGAGAGCCAGAGAAGCCACAGCTGAGAAAGGAGCAGGAGAGGCAGGCGGCCCAAATGTCAGGTAAGCGTGACCTGAACACTGCTATCAGCCTAGGGCTTTGTGCTTCTCCAGGCAAAGCTGCTTTACCCATGACGACTCCTTAGGTCCTCAGAGAAGGTGTAAAGTACGTTTTTGTATCATGTGAATTCACTGACCACAGAACTAATACACCGCCCTTCCTCACAGGCGTCATCGGCCAAGTTCTTATAGAAATACAGGCAAAACATTCAAATGTTCACTCAAGGACCAGAAAGGAACATGAGAAAGAGCTGAAGATTTGGTTAAGATGACTGTTGCCAGTGCAACGTCATTTAATTCCAGAACTCTGGACAAAGAGGCACTGAGGCAGAAGGATCTCTGTGAGTTCAAGGCCAACCTGGTCCACAAAGCCAGTTCCAGGACAGCCAGAGCTGCTACACAGAGAAACATTGTCTTTTTTTTTTTTTTTTTTTTTTTTGGTGCCTATCCTGGATCTCACTCTGTAGACCAGGCTGGCCTTGAACTCGAGGAGATCCGCCTGACTGGACCTCCCAAGTGCTGGGATTAAAGGCGTGCGCCACCACCATCTGGCTGTCTTAAAAAAATAAAAAATAAAAAAAATGACTATTACCAGTAAATACTTTAATATTTTCTTAATATGTCAGCATGATCTCTTTGCAGTGTTTCTAAATGAGACAAGGCATTATTTGAATGTGTCGGTGTTTCTTGGGACCAAAATTATAGTGAGGCAAGTTAGATATTTCCTGTAGGTGCAAAATTTTAGGAGGCAACAAAAAGCCCAATATCCAGATAAGTAATGTTTAATGAAATACTTTTTAATCAAAATCAAAGGCCAAAAACTCCACATTGAACAAAATATCTAATAAACTTCAGCCCTTCTTACGGTTAGTGATGTTTTGTAATAGGATTAACACGGAGCCAATTTTTCTCCATAGGCCCAGGGAGCGCTTGTCGGGAGCCGCGGGCCGAGAGCGCCCTCTGCTGACAAGAATGGGGCATCACTCACCTTCTCCCGCTTATCAGCCTCGCTGTTTTCGTTCAGAAGGATTTCAAACATGGTCTGTACCCTGGAGTCTGTGGAAAACTGAACACGGAGCTGAGGAGAGAGGAAGGAGCCCTGAGAGCGGCAGGCAGCTGGTCCACATCATTTCTGTCTACTCTTCACATACGCAACTCAGAAAATATTAGATCTACTCTGGATCCCAGCCCATCCATTCACTTATTCACTAAGCGAATGGTAACCAGGACCCGTGAAATGTCTCAGCTGGGATAGGCGTTTGCAGAGCAAGCCGGGAGACCTGAGGCAATCTGCAAAACCCTCATAAAGTTCGGGGGAGAGAGCCAACCTCTACCTCCTCTAACCTCCACACCCCCCTCCTAACAATAACAATTAATAATAATAAGGATGCTAATAATAATTTTAATGTTAACCGAATAACCACTTTCTGCCAGACACTGTTCTAGATGTCAGGGATAGAAAGGTGAACAATGGGCTTGGATGGTGGCGCACTCCTTTAATCCTAGCACTTGGGAAGCAGAGGCAGGCAGATCTCTGTGAATTCAAGGCCAGCCTGGTCTATATAGTGAGTTCCAGGACAGCCAGAGCTACATAGAGAAACCCAGTCTCAAAAAAACAAAAACAGAAAAAGAAAAGAAAGAAAGGTGAACAAAATCAATTCTTTGACCCACAAAGCTCTCAGTCCAATCAGTTCCAGTCATTGTCGCATATAATCATCACAATATCCTTGGAAGACATCAACCCAGGTGTAGAATCTCACAGGCAATCACCTACCCGATGTTTAATTTGGAGCCTAAAGTAGAACTTTGTGTCCAGGCTCATAAAGCAGGAGTGGCTTTCAAGCATCCCTCCAAGCAAGTGGAAACCACTCTTGTCTGGGGGTCTAGACCCTCACACGTCCCACCCTATGCCACTCTGGATCTTTCACAACGTGGCCTAAATGATCATCTGGCCAGCTCCTTCTGTGCCTCCTATAGATGAGAGCCGCTGCTCCTCGCCCCTGCCTGCCTGGGCAGGCTCCTCCTTTACCCACCCCTTTTCTCGTCTCCTCCTCTTTTCCATTCCCCCAGGACTGAGTCTGCACTCTGGACAGTGTGCCCTGGTCCAGCCACAGGCTGCTCCAGACACGCAGGAGTTACTGAGTCTTGGAGCAGATGGCTGAATGAGCTATTATTGCCCTCCTGCTCTCACAGGAGGAAGCCGAGACATCTTAAGGGGACGATCAGGAAGAAGTCGGCAGCTGAGGCACTGAGGAGGACGCAGGGCTCCTCTTCTCTGGCTCAGGCTCTCCATGCCTTGTCCATATTCCTAGCAAAGATCTCATGTTCCCAGAGACTCTGACCCTCTGTCCCTCATTAGTCTCCCTGATTCCCACGGACTCCAGACCATCTTTGTCCTCCTAGAGTCACAAGGCAGACTCACTAGGTAATCATGATCATGGTTCCCTTTTCAAGTTTCCGTCTGAAATTTAAAAGAACTGTAGCCGTGAGTAGGTTGTGCCCTCACCACAGCACAGCTCTCTCCATCTCTCACAGGTAGGTGTACTTGCCCGGCTGTTCGATGGACACTACCCATGTCCCATGCTGTCTCCGGCTCACAATTGAAGAGGCAGGGCTGACTCTGTCATCCCATCTCAACCTCCCTAGCCCGTCTTCCCCTATGGATGGGATGGAAGCAGCCAAAGCTCCCTGAAAGGGTTTACCTGCTCCTGGATGCTGGTGTTGAGCCTCCGCAGTGTCTCCTGGAAGTTCTGGTTCCTCGGCTCTAGGGTAGCACAGCGCTGCACATCCTTGAACGCCTGGTCCAATTTGCCCAGATGCTCGAGTGCCTGGCATCGCCGATACAAGGCCTTGATGTCGGCAGAGTTGATGTCAAGGGCTGCAGACGGGAGACAGGCAGATAGATCCTCACGGGGCTGGGCTACAGACTGCTCTCCCTATTCCACTGCTCAGGAAGGATGTCTTCCTTAGAGATGCCCGTTTGAACTATCTGGCTCATACCATCATTTTGATAGGGAGAAAGATCCGTAGAGTCTCAAGGTGGGCAGAAAGCTTCAAAGTTCTCTCCCCCTGCACCCCCCCACCCCCTACCCACCCCACCAACCCCCACCAGCACACACACTCCAACTTCTATCTGATTCCCAAGGCTTCCTCTACCACAGGATTCCATCTGACTGGTGCTTGTACATCTCCAGAAGTAGGGTGTGTCGTCGTCCCCCCCCCCCCCTTTCTGAGGCAGCCAGGAAACTCCAACAAAAACTTTTCCCTATTCCTATCCAAACTCCTCTCTGTCCTTTTGTCCTTTGATCCTAAGTCTGGCCCTGGAGCCCCCAAGGTGGAACTAAACCCTCTCTATCCCACCTCGTAGCTGCCTTCCCTGGGCTAAATATTGCCAGATGTTTCCTTCCCTTCTCCAGCTGACCTTCAGAACCCACAGACTGTCATAGCACCTCCAAACAATGGCAGCCAGATCCAAACTCCTGTGCAGCCATGCTGGGTGAGGGGAAAGTATGGAGCTCACCTCTGGAAGCATCTGAAGCTGCCTGGGCATAGCTCTCCTGACAGACAAGAACAAGAGGCTCCATTAGTGGGGGACCCAGCGCGGAGACAACCAGTGTCCTCTAAGTGAAGGGAGGAGTTAGCTGGAGAACTGCAGGTTATCAGAGGCCCAGGACACACTCCATGCCTGGTACAGAAGGAGTACAGGCTTTGGCATCAGGTAACCCCCAGGTTTAAAATGCCGGCTCCTCCTGGGAAAGTTTGGCCAAGCTATTAGTGCTCTATGAACCTTGGGTTTCTTGACTACAATATGGAAATGATAAGAAGGGCTGTGACAGGGCTGTTCTTAGATGGAATGGCCCAACATTTGAAAAGCACCTATACCAACTGTGACTGGTGGATTTCGGCTTCTCCAGAGCACTGGCCTGGGCAGTCAGAGCACAGTTTCCAACTCAGGGGGTCAAGATGGCATAGTGAGAGGATGACGGCTCATTTCTATCAGACCATCACGACCTCGTCTCCAGCCTTAACCGCCCTCAGCCCACCCAAGCTGTCCTGTCCCCAGACCATTTTCAAGCCGCAGGCTGCCCGGTTCCGGTAGAGTGTGGCCATCAGGGCCTTGTCCTTGGTCAGCTTCAGGGCCTGGCTGTAGCTCTTGGTGGCCGCCTTGTAGTCCTGACGCTGAAAATGCTGGTTTCCGTCCTCCTTCAGTTGTGCGGCTTCTGCCTCCGCCATCTGTGGGAATACCAGAAGCCCTGTGTGGTCGGCCTCTTGCTGGATAGCCAGGGCACGGCTCTTAGCCTGATAGCCAGAGCCCCAAGTTTCCCTCTCCACCATGTAGGGTGGGGATTCTGCCTGGAAGGGATTCACTCCAGCACCCCCAAATCCACTGACCCCCCCCAACAAAGGACATTGGTATTTGCTTGGAACTTGACCCCTCACTGAGAGGACTGTGCTTCCCTCTCTGTCTCTTTCAACCAGGCGTCCCCCACCTTCCCAAAGGCCCAAGCTTCCCTGCAGCCCTTAAAAGTCCTCGGGTCCTTCTCCTTGCCCAGTCTCCCAGCCAACTCACAGTCTCCCAGGGATGCCTCCTCCTAGGTACTGCTCCTGAGCTCTGTGGTCCACCTCAGCCAGCTTCCGTTTGCAGCTCCCAGCCCCCACCCTGCAGACTTTATCACCCCAGCCAGTGACTCCAGACTATATTTGGCCACAGGGGCAGGTGCTCCTGGAAGCTGTCATTGATACAGGGCCCTCCCCCTGCCTGGACTGGACATCCATGACCACATGGAAGAGATGACTACTACCCTCTGGCCCTTGAGCACCCACCCCACCTAGGGGCAGTCCTGCAAGACTTTGGACTCACACCTCCAAGAGAAAGATCCAGAAGAGACGGGAATTGAGAGACCTGCCCTGCCTAGGCAAACTTATAACACCCCTTCCCCACTTCCATCCCAGATAAACAACCCTCCCCCCACGACTGCTATTTTGGGAGCAGAGTGACAGCTGAGGGGCTGATAGTCTTGGACACACAGCAGCTGCCCAGGTCCCTCTGGAGACTTCCAGAAATGCCTCTGTGGAGGGAGGAGGAGAGCGGAGTGGAGGACGATCCCTTCTTCTCTTCATACTTGTTCATAACACCCCTGCTCGAAAGAGCCTGCTTTTGGAAAGCCCAGCAGGACTTGCTGTGTATGGGTGGGCTGCTGTTTGAGTTCGATTATCTCCTCTCTCTCCCGGTCTGCATTGATGAATATACTCAGTTCTCCATCTGGCTGTGACTCCCTTGGATGTGGGCTCTCTTCCTCTCCATCAGGTCAGACCTGGAATCCCCTGAGCTCAAGGACTGTCACCCACTGTCCTTTGAGCCAGATCTCTCCCAGGACAAGAGGAGGCTCTCTTCAAAAGTAGCAATCACCATGGCAGAGGGGTCTCTCTGGGAGCAGACATTACTTGCTTCCTGGCAGCCAACTTTAAAGGGCTGTCCTCACCCAGGGACAGAACTCTCCTCTCCTTCTGTGTCGGCTGCTGGAGGTCAAGGATGCTGCTCAGGAACTTCTCCTATCACTATCCCAGGTATGGAGCCTAGCAGACAGTGCTCTGGGCATGTTTTATGGATGGATGGATGGATGAATGAATGAATGAATGAATGAATGAATGAATGAACGAATGAATGGTGGGGTGGCTAGCTGAATGGCATCTTCATTCTTTTGTTTTTGTTTTTGTTTGTTTGTTTTTTCGAGACAGGGTTTCTCTGTGTAGCTTTGCGATTTTCCTGGAACTCACACTGTAGCCCAGGCTGGCCTCGAACTCACAGAGATCCACCTGGCTCTGCCTCCCGAGTGCTGGGATTAAAGGCGTGCGCCACCACCGCCCAGCGGCATCTTCATTTTTATGGTTTGTTCCACTTACTTCTGTTCTTCCCACACCTCCCACATATTTCAAAACACGCCCGAAAGATACCAAAGAAAAGCCGCACATGGGAGCACTCACAGTAGCTTCTGTGAGCAGGGCTGTGATTTCGGAATGTGGATTGTACATCTATGTGACCTTGAACAGGTCTCACTGCCCTGTTGAACAAAAGGCCCAGCCCTAGCCCGTGAGCTTGTTTCTTGTTTCTCTCACCTTGTTTTCCCAGCTGGCTTCAGACTGTCTTCAAACTCCTAGACTTAGGCAATTCACCGCCTGAACCGCTGGAACCAGAGCTATGTGTCACCACGTCCATGTTAACACACATTTTTAAAATGGTAAATGGGTGGGTGCATTCGTGGGTAGATGGATTCCCTGCTCTCATGGGATCCCAAGCCCAGATCCTCATTTGTGGTCCAAACAATGAGGCAATGTGACAAAGGATCTCACTGCCAGCAGAGATGCTTTCGTTCTGTAGCTTTTGGACCAAGGGATCCTACATTCAATTCCTGATTCAGTAGTTCATTCCACAAGCACTTCTTTTGTGTCTCCTATACACCAGCGGACACGACCGACAATGAGGAACGCCAGAATGCTTGGAAAACACAAAACAAGAAAGAACGTCCTAGGAAAGGCTTCCTTAAAAAAGGATAATTGAGTTAATCTATGGAAAGTTCCCAGAACACTATCTGGCAGAGAACAGTTGCTCAGTTCATTCTGTCAGATGAATGAATGTATTCGTGAATGAGTATATTTAAGGCAAGACATGAACACTGTGAATTGGTTCTTACCTGGGTGTGTGGAGTCTGTCACAACAGAAGACCCAGGGGGAGAGACTTTAATAACAGACATGTACTTTCTCGCTGCTCTGGAGTTGAGAGGACGAGGTCAAGGTGCTAGTAGGGTGGGCTTCTGGTGAGGCTGCTCTCCCCTGCTTACAGGCAGCCATCTTCTGGATTTACATGACTTCTCCTCTGTGTGTACCTGGTCGAGGTGGACATAAAGAGAAGAATGGAGGGACCAGGTGTGCACTTTGGAGGCTTTTCCTCTTGTGAGGGCAGTGACTCCATCTGCTAGGGGATCTACCTTTCTGGCCTCCTTTAACTTTTATTAGTTTCTTATAGGCTTTATATTCTTTCAATTTATGCATGAGGTGAGTGGAGACTCAATTCTGTCCATAACAGTTCCAGACAGAATAAACTGCCTATGCAAAAACCACAGCTATAGGAGTGGGGTGGGGCACAGCTTGAAAGAGCTCAGAAAAATGGCAGGACAGCTGGGCATGGTGGCCCATCCTGTAATCCCAGCATCCTGGGAGGCACAGGCAAGAGGATCACCGAGCTCAAAGTCAGTTTAGGCTACACACCCAAAGCCTATCTCAAAAGTAAATAAATTAATAAACAAATAAAATAAAAAACACAAACCAACCAATAAATAAAGTTTCCGCCTCCATCCAACAGTTTCCTGGTTTGGATTTCCACCCCAGGAGAAAAGTGGATGCTGCCTGGACCCCTTCACCATTTCCTGCCTCTGTGAGTTAGGCGGGCAAATCAGCTAACTTCTTTGCGTTTTAGCATCCGTGGTCTACTAAAGTTGGCAAGAGTCGCTGTGGTGAAGAGCGTGAAAGATCATAGCCTGCGAGGGGATACGGTAGAAGAAGACGCGGAGGTGACTCCTGGTGACTCCACTTGCACGCCTGACTGTCCCCTCCGAACACCAGAGGGCGCTGTGGCCCGGGCCCGCGACACGAACGCGGCGCTCCATCCCTCCGCCTCGCTTCTCCTCCACGTGGGGACGCAGGATGGCGGCCGCTGTGGCGGTGGGTGTACGCGCGCAGGGCGGGGACGCCGCGTCTCCGCGTGGGGGTCCCCAGGCCGGAGGGAGGCGGAGGGGGACTGACCGCCTCCCCGCTTGTTTCCGCAGGACGAGGCGGCGTCCGGCGACGTGCAGCGGCTGCTCGTGCAGTTCCAGGATGAGGGCGGCCAGCTGCTGGGCTCCCCGTTCGACGTGCCCGTGGACATCACGCCCGACAAGCTGCAGCTCGTGTGCAACGCGCTGCTGGCCCAGGTGAGCACTGCGAGAGGAAGCCGGGGTGTTTCCGGGGACCCCCACGGCGCACCGATGGTGATGTGGGTCGGTCCATGGAAAAAGGTTCTCCACGCCGACCCACCTGCGGACAGGCTGTGTTTTGAATTCATCGGATGTAGTATTTCTGTAACTCCTTGGCGCAGCCCAACATAAATATCCCCATTTTACAGAGATGCCCAGCGGGATTAAATTATTCGCGTGGTGGTACGCAGTAGTTGTTGGATTAATTGAGCATTGGAACCCAGATCTGTCTGACCAGATTCAAAACCTGTGCTCTTAACCTTTCTACCCATGTTACTAATGCTGCCCTCTGTTGGGGAGGAATGACAGGCTTACAGATGCAGCTGGTGGACCTCCACCCTCTTACTTAACCAGGCCTTGGTCTGCGTTTTTTAACCATCACCGATTTATAGGTGCAGCATAATGTTGGTGATTTCCAAAACAATATATGATGATGTGTATTGACTCTCATCCTAGACCTTAAAAATACCAAGGACCTGAATTAGTCGTCAGGGTTAGGGCTTTTTGAGCTAATTACTTACTTGCACTAAGCATTTTTTAAAAATCCACCAAGTGGGGATATTAATCTTTACTTCCCTGTGTTCTGAGATGCAGCTAAAGGGCTTCAAAATTCTGTGAGTTGCCGAGGATTACTCCTCTGTAATTCTAAAAGGTTGTGCTTGGTGGGGAATAGTGAGGGAATCCCAAGAGAGGTGGCTGGAAAAAGACAGCCTCTTCCCCCCCACAGCCCATTGGGTAGCAAGCTTTCCCTCAACTGAGGGCAGAGGCTCATCCTTCTGTGGCAGAGTTGCCCTTTACTCCATTTTTCTTGCCCTCAGGAGGAGCCCTTACCCCTGGCTTTCTATGTCCACGATGCTGAGATTGTGTCTTCACTGGGGAAGACGCTGGAGTCCCAGTCTGTGGAGACAGAGAAAATCATAGACATCATCTACCAGCCCCAGGCTATCTTCAGAGTACGTGCTGTGACGCGGTGCACCAGCTCATTGGAAGGTCACAGTGAAGCAGTCATTTCTGTGGCCTTCAGCCCTACGGGAAAGTAAGGACCTGGGCAGAGTCAGTGGGATTTGGAGGTGCAGCCTTTGGGGTGGAGAGAGCACTCCCGAGTTATGATTCATAGGGTCTTAAGCTGTCTGCCACAGACTTGAGATCTGGACTCAAGTTGCGATCTTATTGGGGTTGGGTCCCCAAAGGCTAACAATACCTGCCTGGAAAGAGCCTGTCTT